CAACGCCGCCGCACCACGCACAGGTGAGCCCTGGGCCTGGAGGGTGGAGGGCCCAGTCCGTGACCCCACGTATCCTTCCCGCCCCCGCGCGGAGGATGTGGCTTGGCTGGTGGCCTGCTGGTGTTCGACTCCCTACCACCAAGGCTGGTGGACTTATGTGTGGCATTGCCCCCTTATAGTGGATCTGACTGTGGCCTAGACGCCCTCTCCTGCTAGTATAATGGCTCAGTCTGCGTGCCTATGTTTCTCCCCATCCCAACTTACAGTGGACTCGTCCATGGTCTTACCCCCCCCACCCCCCACTTACTGGGAACCAGTCTGTGGCTTGTTGAACCCCCTTAATAGTAGATGGCGTCTAAGTGTATTTCTCTTAGCCTTAACTTTTCAGGGGTCCTGTCTGTGGCCCTGTTTATTCCATCTCTCCTGTCCTTATAGCAAATCAGTCCCTGGTGCCATACCCCATACACACACACCCCTCTTTCCATCTGACCTTATATTCCTGGTTCCTCCAACCCCCAGTGCATCAGTCCATGGCTTTATCCAAATCCCTAATTTTATAGTTGATCAGTCTGCATGCTTATATTCACATCTCCCTAGTTATCAGACCATTGCCCTAACTATCAGTCCATTGCTCCTCCTTTATTTGTAGACTCCAGTTATTGGGCTTCTCTCTTCTTTTTAATAGTGGATCAGTAGCCCAGTCTATTCCCTGTCCGTCTCCTTTTAATCACTGTGTGATGTCTTTTCCTTTCCTCCACTGTTGTATAGGAGTCAGTGAACTTTTCTGTTTCCTTCCTTCCCAAAAGATTAACCACGTCCCCCTCCCTTTGTAGTGAATATGTTCATTGGGTTTCCTGTAAACCCTATGTTTTCATTCACACAAACTCTCCATATCTTCCCAGTTCTTTTAATTTCTCCTTCAAGAGGGTCAGCCTGTAGATTTTTATTTCTCTTCTCATTCCTTGTGCTGGATCAGTCTGTGATCCTCCCTGTCCTTTACCTCTTAGTAGATAAGCCTGAGTACTTGTTGAACCCAGAGCTTTTTAGTGTACATTGCACTCCCTCATAGACACTGTTAACCACCAAGACATCCTTCCTCACTGTGGATACATTAGTGATATTGATGATAATGCCAATAGGAGCCTAATGTTCATTGAGTACCTGCTATGTACCAGGCAAAGTGCTTTATATTCACAAACTCATTTAATCTTCATCACTGCCCTGTGAGATAGGTACTGAGAAAACTGGAACACAGAGAGGTTATGTATCTTACTCAAAAGTATTGCAGGGGCTGTGGTTGTGGCTCAGTGGTAGAGTGCTTACCTAGCACTGGGTTCGATCCTCAGAACCACATAAAAATAAATAAAATAAAGTATGTCCATCTCCAATTAAAATATTTTTTAAAGGTGTTCCAATAAGTACTCAGGGTACAGGATGTAGTTTGAGGTTCACCTCTCATCTAATCCCATCCCACAAGAAGCCCTGCATTAGTTTCCATCTCCATGTTTTTGTTTTCACTGTTCCCTGTGCCCTCAGAGCTGTTTCTGTTTCACACCTGGTCTCAGCACCCACCCACCCCCAATACCAGCAACAGTGTGACCTTAGATAAATGACTTAACCACTTTCTCCTTGCACCTGTTTCCTTATTTCTAAAACAGGAGAGTCATTTAAAGAAAGAATACCTGTTCTGGGCATGGTGGCACATGCCTGTAATCCCAGTGGCCCAGGAGGCTGAGGCAGGAAGATTGCCAGTTCAAAAAGCCAGCCTCAGCAATTTAGGAAGGCCCTCAGCCACTTAGTAAGATCCTGTCTCAAAATAAAAAATAAAATAAAGGACTGGGGATGTGGCTCAGTGATTAAGTGACTCTAGGTTGAATCCCTAGTACAAAAAAAAAGAAAGAAAGAAAGAAAGAAGCCCGGTGCACACACCTGTAATCCCACTGGCTCCGGAGACTGAGGCAAGAGGATTTCAAGTTCAAAGCCAGCCTCATCAACAGTAAGGTGCTAAGCAATTCAGTGAAATCTGTCTCTAAATAAAATAAAAATAGGGCTGGGGGTGTGGCTCGGTTGTTGAATGCCTCTGGGTTCCATCCCTGGCTCCCCCCCCAAAAAAAGAATACCTGTGAGTTACTAAAACAAGTCACCTCTTCAGCTTTGCCCCCATCACCTCCCTGTCCTGTAACTGCACCAGCCATGTATGCTTCCCTGTCACTGTTCCTTAAACCAGCAGGAACAATCAGCCTCAGGACCTTTGCATTGGCTGTTCTTTCTGCCCCAACACATTTGCATCCAGGGTGCTGTTCTGTTGCCAACCCCGAAAGAATGTGTTCACCACACTGTGGTGCAGGGAACATACTATGTAAAGACACACGTATGATATTTCCACGAATATCAGTTGATTTGTGAATAAGGCAAATGTTATTTTATCAAAAGCATGTGTTCACAGAAGTGTATGTAATATGCTTTATAAAGGCACAGATAGAAAAGATGTTTCTAAGAGACTTCATTTCATTGCATCTGGGTAGTGTTATTTCAGTAAAGCATGTGTTTGTCACACTGTGGTGCTTGAAATACACTATATAAAGGCACACATATAAAAAATGTTTCTAAGCATGCTGTTTATGTAAAAATAAAGTGAACATCTCCCTGACCATCTGATCCTTCACACCCAGCAGGACTGTGGCCCCTGCCCTGCTTTGTTTGTCCCTTTGCCCTCTATCACTGTCTGACATACTGCAGTTTGTATATTGTCTGTCTATCCTCATTAGAATGGGAGTCCCGTGAGGACTTAGAGGTTTTATTTGCTTATTCACTACTCTGTCTTCCACACCTAAAAAATGTACCTGGTATACAGTAGGTACTCAAGATAGATTTGTTACGTGAATAAATAGGGAAATATTATCATTCAGACATCAGCATGTGGAGCAGATGGAGAAGAAAGGATATGTAGCTAATTAAGATGTTAGTTAAAGCCAGGGAACCAGGCATGGTGGTGCAAGCCTATAATCCCAGCTACACGCTTGTAATCTCAGTAATTTGGGAGGTCGAGGCAAGAGGATCACAAAGTCAAGGTCAGCCTGGACGACTTAGTAAGACCATGTCTCAAAACAAAATTCTTAAAAAGGGCTGGGAATATAGCTCATTGGGAGACTGAGGATATAGCTCAGTGATAGTGTGTTTGCCTAACATGTGCAAGGCCCTGGGTTCAATCTCCAATCCACACATACACAAACACACACACACACACACACACACACTAAAGTTGGGGACTGTTCAAATATTTACTCAGCACCTGGTACTGAATACCAGGCATTCTTCCAAGTGCTTGAGATGTGGGGGAAACAAAATAGGCAGAAATTCCTGCCTTTTTTGAACATTTATTATTAAAAGAGAGGGAGCCAGATTATATAAACAAAATAAGTAAAAATGAGATAGTATGTTAAACAGGTGCTAAGTAGAAAAGTTATGGCAGATAGGAATAGAGTATTGAAATGGTTGAAATCTTTGGCACAGGGCAAGGCCACACTTGGAAAGATAAATGTTGAATTGAGGCCTGAAAGAAATTAGAGAGAGAACCATATCAGGGAAATTAGGGAAAAGCCATTGCAAAAGCTCTGAGGTGGAATTTTGCCTGCCATATAGAAAGAACATCAAGGAAGCCATTATGGCTGTAGAAGAGTGGGGGGAGGAATAGAAGCTGAAGTCACAGAGGTGAGGGCAGCCAGATGGTCTGTGGAGGTATAGGCCACGTTGATATGTAGGATTGGGTGGGGGGAGGCGGGGAGATGCTGACACACTAATGATTTACATTTTTGAGTGTCTGCCATGTACCAGAAACATATTTTTAAGCCCTTCATGCATATTAACATTTAACCCGCATAAAAGCCCTTGAGGTAGATGATTTTTTTAAATATTTAACTCTGAGTAAAATATCCCCATTTTATAGATGAGCAACCAGGTACAGAGAGGCTGAGTGCTTGCTCAAAGCCACACGGACAGAACAGGGCAGAGGAACATGAGACTGTTCTCCAAAGAGGAGATTTGCAAGAGTAGCCAGGTTATTTGATGTATTGGTTCATTTAGAAGAATGAATTCTGCCTGGTAGGTCCTGGAACATGATGATTGTGTCATGAAGAGTTCATCAGTGGAAGGAATGGCTCCCCTGGCAGGGAGAACAGCATGAATGTATTTTCAGAGGTGAGAACGCTCCTGAGAACTGTGGCCACCTTGGAGCCTTTGTACACACTGTCCCTCTGTTGCAAGTACCTTTCCTACAGATGTCAGCATGGCTTGCTACCTCCCTTCCTCAAGGAAGCCCTCCCTGCTCACTCTATGTAGGACAGCATCCTTGTTACCCTCTAGGATCCTACCCTTCTGTGTTTCTCTTCAGGGGAAGTGAGGGTGAAGGGTGGCTAGAGTTGCTTGCTGGAGCCAGTCCACCTGGGTTTGAATCCAGGCTCTGCCACATTCCAGCTGTTCGACTTGGGGCAATTTGCTTATCTTCTCTGTACCTCTATTGCCTCATCTGGAAAATGGAGGAAATAATAATATCTACCCTTTAGTGTTTTGAAGACTAAATAAGTCAAATGATCAAAACAGTGCATTGCACAGTAAGGGCAGTATGACTGGTTTGCATTTTTAAATTAGTATTTATAGCACACACATAGGTGTCTAATGGGCTTCTGAAACTCCAAAACGAGACTTCTGCTCTTCCTTCAAAACTTATCTCACTGGGTGTGGTGGTACACTCCTGTAATCCCAGTGGCTTTGGAGGCTGAGGCAGGAGGATCTCAT